GATGTAGCGCTGATACATTGGAAGTCATATTGATGAGTGGACAAGAGATTTGTGTTGCGCTGATACAGGGGAACTTTGAAACACTTTGTAATCATATTTGGGATAATATAAGTGGTGGAACTCGGTTCTCTCCTCCTCTACCTTTGTCTAATGTGTGAGATTCGTGATCACTGTGTGTGAGGATGATGCATGACATGTGCACTCTTGCGTGAGATGGTCCCCAGGACCCATGCAAAATGGTTCACAGCCCCTAGCCAATGGAGAGTAGACAGCAAATGGTTCAAAGTCCTTTGCCCCCTCTGCCGCAATATCCCTCCTCCCCCCGTCCACACCCCCTCCCCCTCCCCAACCCCGCTCCACAGAACAAATTTACATGACCTTTCAGTCATCATTCAACAACAAAAAAAAAATACAAGACCAAAACCTCTAACCAACACAGAAAATTACGTAGGAAATGAACTAAGCAAAAGCTACAATGGAAACATACCTTAGTCCATTGCAGAACAATTGGGCCCACTGAGCACTTGGGCCCACTGGATGGACGCAGGACCAATTTTGTAGTAGCAGAGTTTCACTTCCTGAGCTACAGATGACACAGTGCAGCTGACTGACTCAACTTCAACCCAACGTCCACTTTTGTTGTAGCAGGGAAAACAAACAGGATTGCTGTGTTCCTGCCATGACGGGTAGACCGGTAAGTACACTTCCTCAAAAGACAAAGACAAGAAACAACACACAGGGCTACTCTGCGCTCCTGTGCTCCTACAGTCACCACACTAGAACAGCAAGGTACACTTACCGGAAAAGAACACACGACGGAGAATTACCGTGGTAAGCTGTCTAGGAGAACTACCGTGGAACACACGACGGTAATTCTCCTAGACAGCTTACCACGGTAATTCTCCACGACGGAGAATTACCATGGTAAGCTGTCTAGGAGAATTACCGTGGACAGCTTACCACAGATCGGTAAGGTACACAACTGGAAAGGAAACCAGGAAGCCAGGTGTGCAGAGAGCTTACCTCAGATGCTGGGCGCAGAAAAGAAGCCTCTGTACACAGTGCTCGACGCCCGTGCAGATCCGCCTATGCCATGCAAAGAGCAGGTCTGAACTGTAAAGAACAGACTGACAACCATTCTGCAAGGCCCTTTTGTGAAGCCCTTCGCTCTATTTGGGTTCGCAACTTGACACTTCAGTGATGCTATTGGAAGATAATAACAACCAAGCAGAACCAACAACATATACAACCTGGAAACCCACGAGAACAGGCTATCGACTTGTGTCAAGTGTTCGGAGAATCGGTAGACTAGTACAGGACACCCATCCTTGTATCTGACACAAGGATTACTGTCCCTGCAATTGTCTAAACTCTCCCTCTCCTCTTCCCCCTCTCTGCTCTCTTTCATCGTTGATCTCCCCTCCACCTATACGTTAGATTGCTACCCTTCCTCTCTCACTCTCTGCTGTATCTCCTCTCTCTGTGTTCGCCCCTCCCTCCATTTGTCTCACGCAGCATCTCGCATCTCTTTGCAACCAGCTGTGGTACAGGAAAGGAAAACGTTTTTTCTGTCTTGCTCTCTCCTTGTTTGACCTCCTTCTCCTCTCTCCTCCCAAGTCACTTCATCCTGTCCATGTGTCCATGTGGTGGTAATTTGCCTTTTTAAGACACTTCACCTCATCACTTGTGCCTCCCGAAGCTTCCTCTATTGACGGGGTCCATCTCTTCTGCTGAAACTTATTCCCTGCCTGTCTTTTGCATGGTGGTGTTCAATGTGCAGGGCCTGATGCCTGAACGGAAAAACAACACAGAACGGAATCAGCAAATAGGTTTTCAAAAACGAAAGAGGAATAGAACAGCAACCTCATCACTGTGGAGCAATCACTGTGGGTCTAGTCCAAATTCAGTGCAAGATCCATTGAAAGAAAACAAAGAAAAGGTTGAGATTCTAACCACTCCAAAGGGATCAACGAAAAACAACTAGACCAATCTTTCTAGTGGCCGCAGAAGCTTGGCATGAGCCTTGAGGAAGGACCAATCACTTCGTTGTCCTCTCCTTCCCTTCATCCTTTCCTTCTTCCTTCCCTCATTTCAGGTTCAGATGCCCGGGTCAAGAAAAGGCCGGGTCAAGAAAAGGCCGAGTTCGTCAAACTCAGAAAAGTCACACTCGGGAACCTCAGCAGTCTGGTCCAACAGGCACCCAGCAAACAGTCACGTCTCAGGGACAAGAGTCATGTCTCATAATAAGAAGCCATTCAGAAGAGTCGCAACCCACAAGTGAAAAGGCAGATTCACCAAGCAAGAGTCATGTCTCAAAGGCAGGAGTCAAGTTTCCTAATGAAAAGTCGTATTGAAGAGTCACATCCCACGAGTAAAAAGGCAGTATCACAGGCGAAAGTCGTGACCGACAGGCAGGAGTCACTGTCCACAGTCAAAAGTCATGTTCACAAGTGAAAAGTAAAGTCATGACTCAAAGGCCCAAGCAGCAGCAGTCCAATGGAAATTTGGGAGGTTCCAGGCCTTGAAATTCAGAAGCAGACAGGCCGTGGGTATGTGGTACCGGAACCAGTCAGGACCCAAGAAACAGAGGCTGGCACGAGTTGAAGTGCAAACCAAGACTACAAAAGGACTGACCAGCTTCACATTCGGGAGATGGCTCATTCGCAAAGAGTGTGGAAGTGCTGGTGCACTTGCGCGCTGATGTGAGGGGCAGAGCGCTGAAGCCAGAGTGCTGCGCGAAGGAAGAGAGAGAGAGAGAGAGAGAGAGAGAGAGAGAGAGAGAGAGAGAGAGAGAGAGAGAGAGAGAGAGAG